TGTAGCCGTTCTCAAATTGAAAGTGGCGCTGTTGTCCCCGACCTCTCGTCCTGGCCTCTTGCCAAGAAGCCCGGTCGATTCGGTGCCCCCTCGCGCGCGGGGCGAGGGCATCGCCTGGGTAAGGCTCCAGCCGAAACCTGTGTCTCGACCTTATTTCCAAACGGATGTTTCTTACTTTCGTTTTTACTGCAGCTTTAATTCCAGTCGAAGACCTCAAAGCACAGTTCCCATAATTGACTAGTAACAGCATTGGCTGATTGGATCGCACCACCACTCACTTGGCTAGATATCATATTATATTTTTATTGACTCATAGGTTCGCAAGAGTTCTGTGGAGACGTGGTTAGTAATATTCAGAAAAGCCTATATTGTCGGAGTTGAAAATAGCAGCACATCACAAAAGCGTAGGTGGCGCTGCGCTTTGTGACGTATTCCAGCTCCCAGTGGCCGTGCGTAATAGTAGCAGCGTGAATAAGATTACGTAACGTACTAGTAGTTCTTTACTTCGTTTCTACATCCTCTATTGCCTTGTATTACTAATGGTGTGCAAGCATATATAACAGAACTTCAATAACGACGTGTGTCACAGGTAGAAAAGTTTGTCTTTAATGAAAGCATGCAAGAAATTGCCCACAGGTGGCCCACCCTACATATTATATTGATATGTAAGGTACAATAAAGACAATTTAAGGTAATAATTGTAATGAACTAACTAACCGTGATTTTCTCAGTTTGACCGAAAGCTTTTACGAGTACAAATCCACATGTATTAATGTCATTAGTGTAGTCTTCAAATTTAATACTTCAGAACATCATTCATGATGTGTGCAGAATCTTTCTTGTGTATGGTACAATATGGTAGGATTTTCATAGTATAATTAGAAGACGCATGTCACGATGGTTTGAACATAGTCAACTTAGATATTGTACAACATATTGTCCCGCCATTGTTTAAAGTTAGAGCAACGACTTGAAAATGATCAATGGTCTAAAGCCAAATATGCTCCCAAACTGCGGTCTTTGTCCAGTTCACTGAGCGTTGAAACATACACAAATTCACATTGTGTCGAGATGTGTAGTGGAGTTTCTCACTGCGGAACAAACGTCGACGTCCCTAAGGTGTGCACCGGCGGTAAAGCGCTTACGCCGACTTTTGTCCATAAAGTGATACCGGCTTTCTACTGCTCTTTCACGTTTGTTTAGCTGTGTAATCGGATCAAGTTAATGTTCATCTTTTTAAGATTTTTATTGGTTACGACAAGTGATCCTTGATGACTGGGATGTAGATTTCAATATCATTTTTGAATAACCGATGGATTCTTATATTTTTGTTAATCTGAACAAATTCTGGTTTTTTAACAATAAATCCTTATTGAAACGCCTTAACCATGCCGATCAGGGTTAGATTGCATGTGTCAAGGGGCAACGGTCACCTCTTAGTATAAGCCGAAATAACCTACATCAATATCTCGTTTCAGGATACAATTCCTGGCCAATTTGGTCGTCCTACAGGCTTAATTCCCTATCCATTGTCCAGCTTTAGTAGCGAAACCTATTTCAATAGCCTGCATTCACTAAGCGGATTACGTTGCTGTTACATAGATTCGATTAAAGTGATCGGTCCTCCCTGGATCCATCGAGAATTTTAGATTGATTGTGCATTTTGTTAGAAGACAAGAAAACTTCATCATCATCATCAACAGCCTATAAATGCCCACTGCTGAGCAAAGCCTCTTCTCACACGGAGAAGGTTAGAGCATTAATCACCACGCTTGCTCAATGCGGGTTGGCGATTTCAAACTTATAATTAGAAATTATAAGTTCAGGTTTCCTCACGATGTTTTTCCTTCACCGTTTGTCAGTGGTGTCTAAATAATCTTAGAAAGTACATATAACTCGGAAAAAGTCACATTGGTACTTGCCGTTGGTAGGTTTCGAACCCGCACCCTCATGCATGAGAAGTGGGCGTCTTAAACCTCCGGGCCACCACGACAAGAAAACTTAATTTCTCAAAAAAGTATATGCCGCTGGGCCGAATATTTCGAAAGAGACAATGAAGTACAAATAAATAATCGATTATCGATTGTTAGAAATTAATTAATACTTTTCTGTATCAAAAATTCATCCAGATATCATTGTAGAAATCCTCTATTCCAAACCAATTTTTTTACTTGTTGTCGACATCCCATAAGTAGTAATATTTAAAACATTAATTTCTAAACTTGATGGCAACGTTCGTGCATTTTATTATCACAGTTCCGTAAACCGGGGTGATATCGCTTATTTTGTTTTTTGAATTCGTCTTCTAAGCCTAAGGTGAATTGTTGTCCTTTCTGTATTTTTCAAGGTGTCTGTGTTTCATTTATTATAATATAATCTGTAATAAACAACCAATGCTCTTGATTTTTATACATCAAATATGTACCTAGTTGAAACAAAGCTTAAGGTTGTCTGATGGTCCTACTCTTGTTACACCAGACATCACAAGTGCGTATAAACCATGTATAAACGTACATTATCTCGTGGCCGCTGCTTCCTTGAAATTTTCGTAGGAGACCCAATACGGCACATGATTTCCGAATTCGTTGCCTCTGACGTTGACAGACGGAAGTCTCTCCGGTCCCTTCCCAGCGACCGCTTTTAGCTTAATAAAACTTTACATTATCTAAAGAGGCCACATTTTATAAGTGCTCAATTGGAGCATTCCATTGTTCGCACAATGCCCTGCATTTCAAAAGTATTCATATTGTAGAAGATGTTTGTATGTGTAAAAAGTATTTGATTTATGAGTGTGTGTCATTTAAATTGATGACCAATGAACATGTCATAAAATGCAAGTCCTGATTGTGTTTACACGTCGCTTGCGTTAAATCAACAGTGGTCAATTGAATTGGAACAGGAGCGCCATAAATCACCGGAATCATATTTGTTCAATTTTATGACTTCGCACTTAAATATCGAATCCTAGAAATAAATTTCTACAAAAGTTTACAAAGGGTCACCTTATTTTGTAAATTGAACTTAAAACCTGGCTATAATTAGATTTCTGAGAGCTTTCGTTTGACTAGAATATCAAATATCTATTGTGAGCTAACCAAACGAGTGATCGGTTGGGATATTTGACTCTGCTCTTTGTTAGCGCAATCTAAGGCTTTTCTTTATAAACTTGCGTCCATGAAACAAGACCTTTTTATCCATTTAGCTAACCGCACGGTGTAACTCTAGGTTTAGTGGTGGTTAAAAGTTACACCTTAAACCTCGTCTTAACCAATATTTATGTTACTCTTATCCCGTTAGTCTTACGATGCGACGCGATATTTCACGCGGCAACTGTCCTACGTGATTTAAGTATGGAACGTATGTAAGGCTCAAACTACCTTTATGTCTAGACACGTATTAACAAGTTTCGCTCTTGAGCTACGTTTAATTTATCTTAGCGTGTCTTAGGCGCTAGGTGAAGGTCGGGTTACTTCCTACTCCCCAACCAATTACTGATAGTGTCGAGCTTTGCTTACTGCATGGAGGTGGCGACAAATTAATGCGATTATCGGGACTTAATTGATGTTGTGTTTGCAATCGTAACTAAAGTCTATGTTCATGATTCGACTCCCTAATTTTAGATAATGTATACAAACCTATTCCTACGAGAACACAGTTTGAGTAGAGAGAGTTATTTTAGCTATTGTTTGTACAATGTAAGTAATATGTACAAATACGGCATTCTTTCACTGTAAACATCTTTAACACTTCCCTTTGACTGTCTACGTAAAATATTCATGTAATCTACGAAGTGAAACATTACTGAAATCGATCATATAAAAGGAATATCAAATTGTGCGAGTACAGCTACCCAAGTATGTATTACTTACTAACCCTCAACGCGACGCGTGCCGTATATATTGTTTCTTTCAAAAATGTGTACGTATATTAAACAAAAACAAAATCCGAAATTATAATATTATACTTACTGCAATGTTCGGTGGTCCGTTCTTTAATACGTGTTACTGATAATCTTGCTACTGCATTTTAAGCACAAACCATTGAAATTAATTAGGTCAATATATTTTTTGCGGTTTACCACCACAACCATATTACGTAAACATTTGTATGTATAACGCGAGCTCTTCTATTAATATATTCTGAGCGGCGGTTCTTTTTGTAATCAAAGGAGCAATAGAAAAGGGATTAGCTAGAAAAGTGCGAGGGAACATTAAAATGAAGACTGTTTATAAAAGTTCTTTTGAAAATCCCTAAGTTTAAAGCGATGTGGTCAAGTTCTTTCAGTTTCACTTCAAAGCTTTGTGGCAACATTACTTAAGAAGGATTGGAAATTTTTCTGCACTAAACGTGGATAAATGTTAGGCCATTAGTCCTTAAATCTTGACGCGTCCATACATTGTGTCGGTCCCGCAGGCTCAGCTTTTCGTTTAAACGCACATTTTAGGTTAGTTGTGTCTATAATACAAATTACAATACATACTAAGCAATATTGTGTTACAAATATTAGTCCCTAATATCATCGGTCATCGCCGAAGTCTAATTTTCTTTTTTTTTTATTCCTAATAATTCAGTTATTGTGGCAGAAGATTTTTATCAGATGTATCAGCTACATCGTTGTGGGAATCAAATATAATAAAATTTTCGCTGCACTAACTCTAATAAATCATCCAAGTTACGTTCCCGCGTTAATTAAATCACATTCAACGTTCTCTTAATAGATAAATGTTGCGTTAATAATATTTACTTGCGTTTCAATCACATTTTGACTGTATACATACATACATATGTACATATTCGAAGCATCCTGCAGAAATCTGGTGACAGTCTTCATAACTGAAAGATTTCATCACTTCCAGTTAGTGATGAAACTGAGCAAGCTTTAAATTTAAATTTATATATAAAGCGAAAATTTTTACTAAAATCTGAAGTTGAAAGATAGGATTCCTTCTCCGACTTCTCTCGTATGATGAAGATGATACTACAGGTAATTTTATCCACAGCATGGATGACATCGAGCTGAAGAACATCCAGCTGCAGTTCCCAAGCGCTCGTCGGTTCAGCGGCGAGGGGGGATGCGTCGAGGTGCGTGTGCGCACCGATCGCGGCGATATCGTCGTCGCGGTACAAGGCGACCGCTCCAAGCCAGCCATCATTACGTACCACGATCTTGGACTCAACTGTAAGTATTTGCTATCTTATCTATTGCAATACTCTATGTATCACTCACTACGGTCCTTGCCATCCCTTGGCCCCAAGCCAAAGTCCGCTTTCTGCATGGTGCAAATATACTCTTTACCCTATATTTACTACATTTTCATGCGAATTGCATTTTACGAATAAAATATAGCAAAAATACATTATGCAGTAGGTATTATTGGCGTGTATTCAATTATCTACAGAGAAAAAAACATACAGCAATAAAAAATGGAGCACCTGCGTAAGAGTTTTTGATACGCAGGTCCATTCACTAGACTTAATGAATCTCGACTGATCGAGTACAAAAACGTTTAAGATAGTAGACGTTATATGTATATTTGACCTCCGCTGTATTCAATAGGTGCATGTGTCCGCAGTTAAAAGATCAGTGTAATATGATCAACGTGCAGTTATTGTAGTGTGTGTGATATTGTATTGTTGGCTGTAATGGGAGCAATTGTCGCACGCGCGTCGCTAGTAACCGTGGCCCTGGTGATTACGAGGCCATCCTCGTGTGAATAATGTATTTCTTCGAAACTATACTTCTAACTTTTCATTTACTGAAAGTATGTACATTTTATCTAACCAACTAACGAACCAGTGTTTGTGTTGAAACATAATTAAATTACCCTTTGAGCGGCGTGCATCCGAAAGGTCTTTAAAAAGATCCCATATTTTCCGCTTACCAACGTGTTTACTCGAAGAAACAGCTTTTAATGGTTAATTAAAGCTGCCACTAACATCTGGAATTACCTCCGCATTTCGCAGCCAGTACCCAATGTAATAAAACAACGATAGCCAACCGTTTATTGTAGGAACTAAATGAAATAATTACCCTTATATGAACATAGACGACGACGCTGATCGGACCGTGGTAAAATGTTTTTGAAAATGTGTTTCAGTTCTACTATATTATTTTAAACGAGAAAGTAGCTACTACAAAGGACAGAATATTTTTATTACATTTTTCATCATATTTACTTTAATGCACTTCAATAAGTACGCTATACATTTTAGTAACTGAACCATTAAGCAAAGTCGGGTAGCAAGTTTTTCAGGAAAAATTTTTAGTTCTACTTGTTGAGTAAAATTATATTAGTTTTATTTTGAATATCAAGTAAATGGACATTGAATAAAGATTTCAAGTGAAGTTTCCTTTATCAAGAGGATTTTATTGAATTTAATTAAATTCATCTCGGTATTTCACTGTAAGTAAAATAGAATGAAAATCTTGACGATTCAAGGCAGGTAATCAATCCTTCGTGACCGACGAAATTGATAATATTTAATTTTATTATACGTCTGCTATGGACATCTACCTCACAAAAGCCAGGTGAGGTCGTTCGGAAAATGAGATACATTTTTACGGCAGCTATGAATTTTTCTGGTACGTTCTATAAATAGGTTCTTACCAAAGCGAGAACGGTTTTGTGATAACATCATTTATATTTCACTCATTCAGTGTATCAATATTTTCTTTAACAACATTGTCAGATGAAAAGGACATGAAAATACAGTTAACGTCTAGCAATACATTTGTAATGATACCGAGAGCCATCTTATGGAGATGTTTGAACGTTATCGACGTATTTATTCGTCTGTAGGTGAAATAAGTAAAATGATGGAATATTTTGTACAAAATCAAGAATCTAGATCCTCGTTGTATTAAGGCTTTTATTGATTACGTATCTTTTGTTACGTAAGTTGCGTGCTACTTGAAAGTAAGGCGACGCTTCAGGTATTGGTACGTTCACTTGTACCCTTGTACCCCACTGACACAACTTTTGCTTCCTCTAGGATTCATGTTAACCAGCAGTCTAGATTAACATTGATAGATGATGCTTTTATTGGAACATCCATCGTAACATAATTTATGAGCGACTTTGACTGAGACTTTCTACCTCGATTGTCTCTTTTAACACTTTCTTGATACTAATATTAAATTTTTTTTACGCTAATAATTTCTTGTTATAGAACAGATTTAGTAACGTTTATTACAGTCTCTTTCGTATGGAAGCAATATCCAGAAGCTAGCATCGTTAACGATGAGTTCACTACAACTCGCCCAAAGCGTCTATCGAGCTTTTTAATTGGCTCAGGGAAGAAAACGTTACCAGAATATTAGAACATCCAATTGTACTACATACAATCCTTACACTTGTCATACCTTCAATAGAGCAAGTTTTCTTAAGAATGACAGATTATGTTGTATGGTGACGACTAAACTACGAAGGTTCATCAAAGAGAGGAACACTGTTTTACACATCTATATCATCATCATCATCACTATTCATTAAACATATTATTATATCTACACTAGCTTTTACCCGCGGCTTCGCTTGCGTCACAGCTTATATGACATATACCAATACACACAGCGCCATCTATACCAATAATTTCGTTTTCCTTCGAGAATATCAAATTTTACCGGGATAAAAAGTACTCTATTATTTAATCCAGACTTCTAACTGTACATCTGCATCTGCAAATTCAAAGCAATCGGTTTAGTAGTTAGGGCGTGAAAGCGGAACAAACAAACAAACTCACTTTCCGATTTATAATATTAGTAAGGATAAGGATACTAGCGAACCCAACAGACGTTGTCCATCCACTTGAATGTATAAACAAAAATTCATTCAAATTAGTTCAGCTGTTTAAGATAAATAACCTAGACATCGACTGCAGCACCATCTGCCGGGCTGATTTGTGAATCTAAACCATTCCCAGATTCCCTTGAACACACACAAAAAAATTCATCAAAATCGGTCCAGTCGTTTGGGAGAAGTTCAGTGACATACACACTCACAGAAGAATTATATATATAAAGATATAAAAATGAAACCCGTTTCCCGTTGCCACGCCATAACTTTGGAATGGCTGGACCGATTTGGCTGATTTTTGTTGTGTTTGTTATCGTCAGGAGATGGTTCCTATGGCAGAAAAAAATCCTGAAAATCCTACGGGAACGAGAGAAAATAGCATTGCGCTTACAAAGTCGCGGACAGAAGCTAGTTTAATATATTTATACAACATAAGCACAAAATGAAATATTCCTTTAATTAAACCTCTGTCTACAGAGACGAATAAAAATTACCTCTTTGAAACAATTTTCTTTGGAAACAGATTTTTTATTAAAATATTAATTATGTGCGTTATAGAATAGATACAAAGGAACGAGACTGTCTGAACTAATTTATAAACTGTCCGTGCTTCTACAAAGATAGCTGGAACTGTGTAATAAAGTTTACGAGGCGAGTTAATGAGTTGAGTGGAGGGACATAGGTGCTTCGACTACACACACCGACCTCTTATTGACTAACAATATTTTCCATGTAATACGTGCTATTTAAACATGCCATTGTAGTCTTGTCATATAAATGTACTTTGGATAGATACCGTAATACTACAAAGTATTCCTCACAATACTTATCTCCTTAATAATATAATATACCGTCGCGTCGCCTACACAACTAAGTTCCGCTGAGAGTCTGCGTGGGCGCCTCTGGGCCTTCAATTTACATATATAGGACTAGCTAGACGTATATCAACCCACATTTTCGGCTAAAAGTAAGTAAAACAATAAGTAGGTCCCTGATGCATATAAGTACTTATCAATTCTCTGAAAATACTCGCTCTGTAAACAAAAGTCTTTCGCAGAGCTTACAGTGAAGACAGAATATAATAAACATGACAATAATACCTTTTTCCTTGCTAGTTTACGTTGTTATTACAAACAATTTCAATGTAATAACGTGTCAGCTTCTTGCCATCTCGACTGCCGCTTGTTTTCGCAATAAAGCCTTTGCACAATAGACAGTGCAATATACCAGAAAGCAAGCGAACCTTTATGACTTCTGCAATAACTGCCGACGACCATCGTAAATCAAATGAAAAATTTAAAACAATTAAAGATTGTCAGAAAATCAAGTAAGAATTAATTGGAAAATCCTTAGTAAGACAAAAAAGAAAAAGCAAGTTCCTGTTGCCTTTAAAAAGATCAAAGCTTGCTGGAAAGAACGAGCAGTTTATTGATCAGCTCTCAATTGCCTTTGACTCGTGTAGTATCAATTTCCTTTCAATATGTTGTAGTGATTTTCTCTACAATTAAAGCTTGTAATTGCTTGTTTTAATTCCTTTCAATATCGATTACATATTTTGCCATTTAGTATGCGAGCACAATAGGCTGACGTACAAAAGACCCAAGCCACGGTCACCTCGGTCGATGTGCGGTCTAAATACCATCGTCATTTCCCAAATAGTTAACTTATTAATATTTTCTGTCCATGTGATAAATAAAACAGAACATGTACGGCACACTAAATAAGACACTTATTACGACTAGCAATCAGCGAAACATGTCTGTCTACTCATGATTTATGTGAGTTAATATCACTCAGGCGATAATATAATTTGGCAATCAATTAATGTGGTTGTTGAGTAAAACCAATTAATTGGACTGATATCACTAAACTCAAACTAGTTCCGACCACTGATCCATTATACAGAAGAGCCAGAGTCACAGATGTCGGCGCAAATTAAAACGCGGATGCAGCGCTCAACCAATTAATTCAATGAAGTGACTGTCCATCAATTAAACTTTGTACGCAAGCTATCGCAAAGTCGAAATGAAGATGAGGGCACTTGAGAGGGAAAATCTTCAAAAGCTTTATGAATTAAGGAATACTTATTGCAGTGTTATTGTCCAAAACAAATTATCTTTTCAAAGTACCTACTCATCTTACAACTTAAACGTATTTTGCTCCAATTACAAAGATCATTTTGTCAGGAAATTATTGACTTACTGATACTTGTCTCATTTTAACAATCTGACATTTTAAAATTGGTAATGTTACAGTGAACGAACGTCCTTTATTGTCCCGGAAAGTATGTAGTTACATAAAAAAGGTTCATCAAAAAGTACATGTTACCATAACAGGTTGTTCAATCCCCAGATTGTCTAATCCTAACTAGGCAAGTTGCATC